GTTTTATTTAGAATAAAATCAATAAGCATGGGCTTAGTCCATTTTCCGAGCTCTATTACAGATGTGTCGGAAGTAGCAGGAGCCATAATGAACGTAGTACTGCTAATAATAGGCAAAAAAATAAGCAAACGCCGTAACGATGTGGGTGGGCAAATTATTATGCACCCGGTACAAATATCTTTACCCAGATAAGACGATCCACGAACTTGACACGTGCCGTAATAAGAACCGAGATAACTGGCTGACACACACCAGTACGAAAACTCAAAGTTCGAACCGTAATATTGGTAGATTAGATTAAAATAACTGGAACTGTAACTTAAGTATCGAAGGAAAACTGCCCAAAAGGGAAGAGATTTAGGGCAGACTGCATCAACAACAACAACACAAGATTATAGGCGCACTTTTATTGTTATACTGGAATAAAAATCACAAAAAACGGATAACTATTTCACAAGGAAATAATTAAATAATACGGAGCAATATTAATCACAAGTAGAACACGTATGAATATATTCAATTTTATTTCTCTTATTTCTAGCAAATTTTACATAATTATTGTAACGAATCCGTCAATGTTATATAAAAGGAGAGAGAGTTTTAGAGATAGAGAGAGAAAGAAAGAGAAAATGAGGGAGACAGAGACTTTATACTGATATGTTTCTCTCGTATACAGTCAATATATGCCGTGTTTGTATTACATATACACGAGTGTATGTAATATGTAGCTATATGTATTTATAAATTAGTAAAACAACTCAAAGGACTCCATGATGATGTACTTTCATGGAACAACATAATTATCATTAGAACACCAGCCCGCCTCTACAAATTTCATTTTGTACGTTCATCCCGACCGCACTGCGATGTTGTGTTGCTACAAATCCTGGCTGGCGCGAAATACGTGAACGTACCCGGTACTAATGCCGCTACCATATTGTATATTATAATTCTAGCAATGCATCGAACTGTTTGTTCGAAACACATCACACGCAGGTGCAAAGGGTGTAATGCGCTATTATGACCGATGAACGTGATGTCGTAGTGCATAACGTAAAATGATTTAACACCCGAAGATTGTCTGCAACGGTTTTTTAATAAAGGAATCGATAAAGAAACATTTTTGTAGCAAATAAACGCGCAAAGGTTTTTCGCCCCGGAAGGCCTTGTCCGGCTGATCATCAGTCGTTTCGAACTTGTAACTGTAGTACCATTACTTTATCGCACCACCATATGCACAGGATTTTCGTCCGCGAGATCGGAAAGCAGTAATTTTTTTGTTCCCCGGTGTCTGTTGATTACTACATGTCATGTGTTTTACACGAGAATTCGAAAAAATGATTTTCGTTCGTCAAGTCTACTTAAAATCGACTTTTTCACATTTTAATTTCATCCATACTAATCCCACACCACTACCAATTAAAATTCCAAACATGACACAATCACAGCCTTTTGAACGTATTGTGAAATAATGAATGCAGTCGTTTTCGAATGGACATATAGACGAATTCAAATCCGTTTTCATAATTTTTGTCGCATCTATAGATCAATCGTTGGAAATAGAAGACTTCTGAATTCTAAATACCAATGTTACTAGGCAATTAACAGAGACAAAGAATTACGTACAATGGAAATTCCTTTCCGACCTTAATTCCATAATTAATCCCTTAATATCTGTTCTCACTGTAACTTTGTAAAAACAAATCATTCCATAGTATAGTATGGAATGATTTGTTTTTGAATAAGAATAAGTCTTATTCTTTCATATTATGAAATTATCCTTGTTATAAATTATATTAAATATACTTTTCTATCACTATTGTATCAAATATGTTAATAAACTAATTTTTTTTTTAATTTTAATTGTATACATTTAATAAATTTTATTATTTAATTATGTAATGAAAATTAATCATTATCAAGTAGTGTCACCAATGGGTGATTTCTTCTCTCATTTTTTTTTTTTTTAGATTATGGTTATCTTTGTTCTTATAAAATATCCCATTTTAATTGGCTTGCACTTCATTTTCGTGCAATATTATTATTATAAATTTACATTATATTCTTTCTTTTTTTTTTATCCCATACTATGTCATATAGCATATTGTTAACGTTGTTTTTAAAACGTTAACCCTCCTCAATTGTTTTTGATTATTACAAGTATTTACAGTAATTATGTTTAATTTTCATATTCGATATTATTTGTCGTCATTGCTATTATATTACTTGTTTAATTACTTACTTTTCTTTTATTGTGTTTACATTTCAATTGTGTTAGTTTTTAATATTTTAATTTTACAACTGTAATGGTCTTTACTAAAATTCTATAAAAATAAAAATACGGTTTCCAACCCTCGAAAACATTAGTTATCGCTGTATTATATTAAAATGTATTATACATATTTTGTAATACACTTGTACACGAGTTCTTTTTTATTATTATTTTCACACAAATCCCCCGTCAATATGGTACGATGTTCGTGGTAAATTACAATTAGCGATGGGAACGTAAATACCGCATGCCGATAGCAGTAGGTGGTCTTCTTTAATTCTAGCACTTCAAACACACGCACAAATATAGAAAGTTACATCATACGAATACGTGTAATACGAGTAATGTTCACCGTTTATCGGACAGAGCCACTTGGACGTGGTTTTACGGTATAGGTGCTGTTCAGTAGCCTTAAGTTTTATATGAACATCCTCAAATATTTCATAGCATTTGACAATTTGAACACGTCCAAGATGTTCAGATACTTTTAATTGACTTATACTTAGCATCTTTAAAAATTTCACCTGAATCGTGACCATGATCTAGTGATCTACAGAGGGTGAATGTTAGAGAAAAAGGTATGCATGCACGCGTGTTGGAAATTGATCGTTGAATCGGACGGATTTGCGTGTAACAAACGAATCGTCAAACGGATCGGAAGGTGGGATATTTAGTATGGAGACCACGTGATTCGTACGTGTCCTCGGTCACTGCCTCTCCTCGGCCCAGTGGCATGGCGACACTAAGCGACGGTGGAGGTGTGAGGATGGATCCGCGGATAGAGAGACGATAAGGTGGTCCTTTGGGTGGAGGGCAGGATCGATAATAGGAAAAACAGCGGCGATGCCGAAGACTGCGGTGTTTGATTTTCGACGCGTCCGATGGACCGTGAAACGCCGAGCGCGCGCGTGAAATATCGTCGTCGTCGTCGCCGTTGCCGTCGCGCGAAAATAAATATATACATAAAAGCGTCACGTGAAATAGAAAAAAAAAAATGAAAACGAAAATCATATACAAATATATATTTATATATATCATATCGGGGTTTATACGTCCCTATATATTTATCCTTCGGCCGTAAAAAATAAAATATATAATACGTAGAAAGCGGTGTGCTGACGACCGGTAACGCGGTTTATAAATTGAAACGCGTCGGTCGGCACCGATAGTCATAATAATAATAATATTTTTTGTTGGTTTTTTTTTTTGTTTCAAATGGATCGGAGACCCGTCATCTTCTTAGTGCGCCACGTCTATGTGGCTTGCCCGACCGTGATATTGGAAAAAATAAAAATACGTCCTCCGCCGCTGCCGTGGCTAGAGCGCGATAAAATGTATCATATCTGATACGACATAAGTGGTGTGTAAATCCCCACCCGTATTTATTATATACGTATACCCGATGAGTGCACCTTCCTCTGTAAAATATTACGATACGGATTCGTAGCGAAAAATCGTATTTCGCGTTTATTAGTGGCCTGTACGCGGTTCTCCTTCAAGCCCCGAACGACGACGGGACAAAAGCGATATGACGTTATGTACGCGCAACGATGGTCATCGGCCAACACATCATTTTTTATACGTTTTCCATAAAAATATCCTACACAGATAGATGTGTATAATATTGTTAGTGAAATCCGTTTAAAGCGGGCTCATTGGGAACAGTTCGATTTGCCGACACTCAGCGGACGCTGGTAAAATTCGAAATTAGGAATCAAAAAAAAAAAAAAAACATGTGATTTACTATTTTATTTATTTATTTATTTTTTTTTTTTAAAGGTGCATTTCATATTGTCGCTACCAGGAAAACATGTAAAATATCTATAAGTTAGATATAGGTCACGGAGGAACAGCTGGTCTCACACACTAACATGGCCGTTTAATTATATTGTTTTATTTTTATATTTATTGTGCCCTATGTGAATTATATAGTACCTATGTAGATTGTAAATCACGTTATCGTTTGCCGCTGCTTCGGCTACCCGAATATTAATTACCACGGTCGCCGTGATCTCTTCTCGTACCGTACGTTGTCGAGGCAGTATCAGCGCATGCTAAATATAAGGTTATAGTCAGTACTCGAATTGGAAAAAATTAAGTAAAGTAGCTCAGTCTAACGATTTTAAAACTGCGTTCCATGTGTGCAATTATTTAACACAGGCCCATGGGGGTTTTGTCCCTGACCGGTGGGGGGGGGGCTCCGCCAACCTTACATATATTTTGAATGCCACTTTTCAGCTAAATTAATATTTAAATTCTAAATATAATATATTTTGATAGCAGTACCAACATCCTACAAGTTACAATAGAAAATAAAAATAAAATAATAATTAACATAATTGTAGGTGATCAGGCAGTCTCACGAATAGAATGACATAATCATATATTTGGTTTTTGTTTTTATTTATTTTTACTCTTTAGTGCGGGCCACGGCCTTAAAAGATTAGTTGTGGTGCGGGCATTTATTTTTTTTCGAAATTACGATATCGTGTATTGCCAATATTAATAACAAACCGTACAATGTATAAAGTATAATACACCAAATTCACAGACATTATTATTTATATTTCTCCAGAAATGATAACGTTGTTCCTTATCATAACCACCATAAAATCTTCAATTATGAAAATAGTTTTGATATTATAAATCGTAAAATTCGTTTTCAAATTGACGTAAATTGAAATTCACAAAAAAATAATTTTGGATATCAATTAAGATGAAAGTGGCGTCTCCCCGTTCCGTTGAAAAAATATAGTTGGGGTACGCCAAAAAAAAAAAAAAAAATAGTGGAGGAGCTCTGTCCTGCGCACCTCCCCACAATTCGAGCACTGGTTAAAGTATTATATTATAACCTTTAATAAGTTGTTTTTTCTATTATTGAAAACTTGCTTATAATATCAATTTGAATGCAAACGATTACAGAGACGTCCGGTGGCCGCGTCCACGTAGTCATCACCAATTTCAAACATGGATATGATGGAAATGATGGGATGTATCTGTGTGTATCAATCTCGATGATTATTAATATTAAATGTTCCTGTTGTACGAAATTTTCGCAATTTCAGCTGACGTGTCGATACTTATGTAGATATCGTATAGAACGTAGTACGTTTGAGACCCTTGTAAGTGTTTTGCCGTGTAGAAAATGCACTTAACTGTTAAACATTTAGTCAACATCATGTGATATACGAATTACTTCGAGAAATTGGCACGTACATGCGCATACATATATGCACACGTGGTGTATTTACGTAACAGTAGTATGTACATCTAGAACGCTAAAATAATTGAATGGATCAACCATCCCGAGACAAGGTAAAGTACTTCAATATTATACATGGGTCACGAACCTTGAGATATTTCAACGAAATCGGTATATTATGCAGAGATAACATACTTGCGATGGATTTTTTTTTTTTGTTCGTGAAAAAAAAAACAGTTAAAGCGCGTGTCTTAACAATTTTTAATTCAATCACTATAAAGTAGAAAAATAACGACAATTATTAGAAATCTAATTTAGTTTTTAAAAATTATTATAATATAATAAAGAAATAATTACCAAGAATATAGCATTTTTAAAAGATAAAATTATATTTGTTTCGTTAGATCAAACTATAACATTTTTAACAGTACGGCTTATATGAGATTTCAACATTCCATTCCTCTAGATTTTTTTTTTTTAATCAAATTAATAGTATGATATTATGTGTCCACATTCTCTTTCATTAAATAATTTAATAAATTTCAAAGGGTCTAAGGAAGAGAGACAGCGTTAATTTTTTATTTAATAAACGATTGATAATAAAATAAATGTCTATAAAATAAGCATATTTCCCAAGGAAAATTATGTTTAAGGAAAACAGTGTACAAATATTGTTAACGATTTAAATAAATCAAATATTCTAACAATGAAATTAAGATCTGGAAGACCACCCGAAGAAATTAGTAAAAAGGAAAAAAAAAAATTCCTGGACAAAATAAATAACTTACATACAGAAAAACTTGGTCCGATTTTTTTTTTTTCGTAAGAAAAACATCAACTTATTAAACTTTACATTAATTTTATTTTATTTATTTTTTATTACAATTTCAACGCAAATATCAAAGTGGTAATCCTTGCCATCATCGTTGTTAGGTTATTGTATTTATTTTAATGTAACAAATATATTATGTATGCATTATACATTTTACATATTTATTTTAAAGTGAATTCAACTAATTTACATATTTTTAAACTGTTAATATTTCAGCGCAGACTATCTTTAATTTCGAGTTACTACTGTACAACCTTTGACATGCTGATTAAATATTTGATGGTCGTTAGCAAAGTGAATAGTCGACTTTTATCTCGAAAGCTTACGTCTTCTGCTGCTGCTACTGCTCATCAAACAACGAACGGATCTCAGCCATTTCAATGATTGCTTTTTGTGTTTTATTAGACTTAAAAGCTTTCACACGAAATCAAACTGAACAAATGATCACGGATACGGGTCACTTATTCGACTTGTATGTTGAACTAACAAGATAGATTTTTTCGTTTCGTGTTTCCGTAAAATAAAAATTATTATTATTATTATTATTATTGTTCTCTCTTCTAGTGTAACTATATATAAATCTCTCGGATGTATCATAGGTTAGCAATGACTTACCTATGTACTTGTACATACGATGCGTTCGAATTTCATTTACACAAATGTAAATTACATATTAGAGTTAAGAGAAATTGCATTGTCTTACACATAGAAATATGCATGCACAAAGTTTCAAAAAAATAATTATAATACTTTAATTAATTGAAGTCTGCGATGAACTTTTGTGCACGGAAAAAGGCGAATCATATCACAAAAATAATAGAATAAAACAGGTTGGCATACCGCACTGGTGATGTTGTTCTGAAACCGATTTTTATCTAGATTAAAATATACTATGTTATCTTTTATATTTATCATTAATATTTCAACAGTATACAAGATTAAAATTAATTGAATATAGACTAAATTATTGCAGGTTACTCACGAGTCACAAGTCGTGACATTTCGAAATATTTTTATTCGACTTTTATAAGTTTTCGAAAAAGTGCGAAAAGCCGATTTTATCCGAATGATAAAATAATATGTACCAACAAAAATGATTGTCGCCAATAAAATGATAGTTGACGTATGGATTCTTTGTTTTGAATATTATATCAAAAATAAAATCTTGCAAATTATATTTCCGACTAATTAACTCTGCGTAATATGTGTGTACACAAATTATTAATTTTTCACTAAAGCAGAATTACAATTTATTTTTATAATACAAATCGTTGTTATATATAAAAAATTTAATGCAGTATTATATAATTTTTATTAGGTGCACATTTATTGAATTGGTAAGTAAAACGTTGTGAAATATGAGACACGGTAAAATACTTATAGTTAATTTATTCAAAAGGTTGTACGTGTTACTCTAAGATTGAGTTTATTAGATATTTAAAAAGTTTATTAAAAATGATAAGATAATAAATACGCGATGTAATACATAAGAATTTAAATAAATTTTCAGTTAAAATATTTATTGTATTTTTTATATTTTTAAAACTAAAGTTAATATGACATTATTACATTATTTTATATTCAGTAGATTATCCTTGGAAATTATTCATAACAGGCTAATCAATCATAATTCAAGATTTTTATTGAAGTGCTTACGATATTATAATGTATTATTAAATAAATATGAAAAAAAAAATATCTTATAATTAAAATAGGAAAAAACCACAAGGTTTATCGGTATTGAAAATGGTTTTGTATTTGATCAGTTGAAAAATAAATCATCTAACGACAAGATTTAACAATATTGTGATTATTAATCTGAGAATTACATATTTTTATATCCAGTTTTTTCTCCAAAATGATTGTCTACTAATGATACAAAAAATGCTTGTGCATTTATTCAATCCAAATTTAAAGAAATTTTAATCATCACTATCCAAATCTACATTAATTCGTGAAAGTTTTCGTATATATATATATATATAGACTAAAACATACGTAAAAATTAGAAGCAGTGATACACCTTGACTTTGACGGCCAAAAGTAATATTTAAATACAAGAACAACAAAAAAAAAATAAAAAAAAAAAAAATAATACAATCAAAATACAATCAAGGAGTAATTTCACGTCATGAATTGTATTTATATTTTATAAAACCATGTAATTTTTGACTAATTTTTTTTCTTAAAAAAAGTTAGTAATTGTTTAGTTAAAGTTTATATTATTTTATGTATTTTAACAGTTATATGACTATTTTTTTCTTATTTAGATCATAAAAAAAGTGTTGTTAAAAAAAATGATTTATTCATATTTTAGTAACCAAGCTATTTGTAACCTTATCGTAGAATCCCCGTTGATATCATAGGTTAGTTTATATTTATAAATAAAACCAGCATGAATGAGTGTAAACATTTTTTTATTCTGAACCAATACAATGGTTTTTTTTATTCCTTTTTATTTTTAATGTTAAAATATTAAAATATTGTAATAGAGTGTGTGTATATTAATATTGTAGTCATAGGAAAATACATTTTGAAATGACAATTAAATAATATTAAAAAATTACTTTTGTGAATATGCCTTTTACATATTAAATGCATATACAAATAGTGTACCGTTATATTCAATTATTTATAATTTCAAATATTAGTTTATGTACTAAAAAAAAAAAAAAACCAAAAGTGTATGGATATTAGTTCTTGTTTGTAGTTACGTTTAATAATATATGTGTATGTATGTGCTTTTGAACTCTCATCACCCTGTGATACTCATATGTTTGCATATGGAAGTCTACAATGGCACAACTACGGGGGTAATAGGGGATATTTAAGCACTTCGACGGAGGTATTTAAAGGCACTATATGAAAATAATATTCAACAAATGTTTCAATGAATAGGAAATACGAATAGAGTGGTGTATCAAACTCGAAAGAAAATATATGTTAATATATCTATTAATATAAATTGTTTTGGAATAATGGTTGAGGAAGGTTTTTAGTTGCAATCATCGATTCAATGGTCGACTTAGGTCATATTCATTCAGTATATTTTGTCGGTTGATATATTGATATTTGGTATACCTCTTCATTTTATTACGTTCAAAACTGATTATGAACAGCTTGATTATTCAGCTAGTATAGTTCTATTTATGCCGTAGCTACTAGATGAAATTAACCATTTCATGATGTGTTAACGGCTTATATAAACACTTAGTGTAATACGTAAAATATTTTACGAAATGTTAATTTTTTCATGAAATAATTTTTCCAATATTTTTTTTATACCAGAGTGTATGATGTGTTCAATATAGTGTACACTAAGACTGATACGAGTATACGTGACAATTATTGTTCAAAATTTCTCGATGAAATGGAGTCACAATGAATTGCGAATAAAAATAGTAAGAAATTTAATGATGATTGGAAAATAATTGATTAACATTTTTTATAAAAAATAAAATTGTATAATTCATTGTACCCAATTTAAATAACAAATATCTCAAAACAAGTTTGAAATATAAAGCCTGTGTTTAATTTTAAAAATACAGCATGATTTTAATTTTGAACGGTCATACAAAAATATGAAATATTAAATAAATCTAAGTATATATTAAAATAAATTACTAACTTTTTATGTTTCTCGTTGTTTTTTCTAAGAAATTAATCGAAAACACATTACCATTACCATTCATGAATTCAAAAGTTAAATTGTTACAGTAACTGCCTGTAGGTAAATAAACGCTATAATATGGAAAATATAGCGATTGGTGGTATATATAAATTAAAACCAAAGTTTTCACATAGGTTTAACATACATCATTTATATTACCCCACATACGTCTTATCGTTAAAGCTTAATACACGGTTATAAAAAAATTTTATCATTTTTTAATTTAACATTTAATTGGCATTTAAATACCAACTGTTTGACTGTATATTATTTTATTTAAAAAACAAATCTACAAATATTACATTATACCTTTAATATTTGAATTATCTATATTCTGTAATATAAACATGTAGCGAAGATAGAGAGATTACACATTTCAGTTAACACCTACACAATTTTGAGATATGAAGTTATACAAATTATAATATATTAAAAAGGGGCACAGTTATACACATAATACTATTTTAAAGTGGAGGTAATTTACATAATAATTGAAAAGTATACGAAATTCAAGGAAACATATTCATGGGGCCTAATATACTATAATACTAAATAAATAATAAAAGTTATGTTTATTTAACTATTTTAAAAATTATAATTTATTATATATACCAACACGTTTTGTTAAGATACGTATGATAAAGTATTTTAGGCATCTCCTGAAATATAGGTTTGCATACGTCTATGAATATATGCCGAGTTGTTTAAAACTATGTACCCATAAGTATTTATCGATATTAAAATTTTAATTCAATTTAATTTCAATTTTTTTTTTCAATTCTAAAATGTAATTAACATTTTTTGAAAATAATATTTAAAATATAGAGCTAATAGTTTTAATTTTAATATTAGGCAAACAAATACGTTACTAATAATTATTTTAAGGAACCTGAAAATTAATTATTTTAGAAAATTATAAAAACTATTCTATTGTACCTATTTATCATCAAAAAATTAATTCATTTATTGAAATCAAATGTTCCTTTTCAATTAAATATTTTATACTCCAAGATGCAAAATAACAAAAAAAAAAAAAAGTATACGAATATGTAAATAGATCAAATTATCTCAAAAACACACTTCCATGCTTCAATTAAGTAAAATGTCAGTTTCACATAAATAAGAGAAAGTTTTGTTTCTTCATTTTATGGGCAGCAAAAGGTAAAAAAATTTTCAAATTTTATAATTTTGTCTGTTTTTTTAGGCATTTGTGAAGATAAAATAAAACGGGATAATATGTTCTGAAAAAACCAAATAAAATTACAGTTTTTTGTGTTGCCAGAGTTAATTTATCCGCAATTAAATAAAATATGTTTTTTTCTAATAAAAATGGTTTTTATTTGTTTTAATATATTTACGAGCTTCTGTTATTATCTCGGTACACTATATTATTTTTATATTTACATAAAAAAAGGAATTAAAAGTCTTTTATTTTTTTAATATACAATAATATAATATTTTCATTTTTAGATACTAAAAAATTTATTATTATCACTGAATCTCTCAAATCATGATTTATGGCAATTAGATAGGTAATCTGAAATTATTTCGTAATTGAGTATTTGGAATTTAGTCGTCATCGCCGGTCCCCTCACTAACACTAATGATCATTTATTACGCACATATATATACGGCCAGCACGCACTAATGTAATTGTCTATACTGAACCCTTAAAATCGATCTGTCTGCAATGCTAAAGTGAATAGAACATGGAAATTATATCATATTAAGTTTATTGCAAATACGAGTGTTCTATTAAAATTACTTAAAATTTGTCTAGAACAATTGTCTAGTTGAAAGTGCTGTAAAACTCCACGATTTGTTATGTGTAAC